ATTTTTTGATATTTTTTATGTTTGAAAAATAGGAAAATAAAATCAGAAATGAAAATAAACACATAAAATATATAAATAAGAAAAATGGGCCAGGGGGGTGCAGTTAGTAATGAGGGGGGTGTCAAAAACAAGAAGCCAAAGCCCAGCCCAAGTCCAGACTTCATCTTCAACCTCTCGTTCAAAACACGCGCGCCTGACTTCAAACATGAACAACCTGCATACGTGCTCTAATGCAAAAACCCATAACATCAAAGTTGTAGCATTTTTCAAGACGAATCCAACCATATAAAGAACTCATTCTAACTCTCAAAGACCAGAGAGAATTTCTCTGGCCCTAAATCCCAACCTAATTTTTTCAGGAAGTTCATGGATCAAATTCTCTTAACACGTTTAACTTAAATGAAAACTAAGCATATGTACAACTTCATGGCTATGGATACTACATTTTTTATTCACAAACCTAAGCCTAATGATTCCTAAATAGAGAGATAGGAAGTTGACAAAAACCTGTTTCAGTTGACTTCGTGTATGGCAATGTGGAGCTTTTCAGTGAGGCCTGAGATGTTTGGGAGCTTGCTTGAACTTCCTCTGACCTTCCCCAATGCCTAGCTTGCCTTGAATGTGGTTGAACAATCCTGTAGAACTCAACCTGCACAAGCTGAAATAAAAAAATGGTAAACCTTGCAAATGGAGTTACAGTCAGTGTTTAAGGGTTGGGATAACTTGGATAGGTTATGTGGAAGGTGTTTGAACAGGTTTGGGGCAAAACACACGAGCAACTTATGAGATAGAACTCAAGATGCAGCAGCTGCCCTATTTTGCCAATGGAAGATGATTTTGTGTTTTGGAAGGCTTAAGGACTCAAAGGCTCGTGTTTCTGGCCCAAGGGGATGTATGAAAACTTGTCTCAAATGCTTGCCAAAGTTGGTTCTAACAAATGTGTAAGATGTGTTGTGTTTTACAAGTTTCTTGTATATCAAGCAAAAGTGGACAAGTGATGCAACACATGCCTGTACAGGCTATCTATCAGCTTGCACACTATGCTCTTGTCCCCTCAAGTTTGTGGATTTGATTTGCTGTACAAGATATGGTTCAATTCTCAAGGATGCAATTTGACATAAAGCAAGATTTTGACAAAAATGGCAATGTTACCTTTTACCATTTTTGGATTAATCTATTGTATAATCTTCTAATGACAAAAACAAAGCCTTAGAATAATGGATTTGCATTTAATTATTGAGTATGGAAGGGTTTTGGGACCTGTAATCTAGTGTAAACAAGGCTGATTAGAGTTTGTAACTTGTATCACTAAGAAAATGCCATGGATCAAAAGTGAGTTTTTTCCAACTTCAAGCCCTCGATTCTCCCTAACCACAAATTATTTTGGAGAGTTCTTGGACTTTTTGGAAAGCTTGTAACATGCTCTACATTCCATATTTGAAATGAATTTTGAGATTCCAAGTGGAACTATGTGAAAAATTGCCATGAAGATAGGCCAAAATCCTGCCTAAACTAGGGCAAAATTTCACTAAGTTAAAAGTTTCATGGCCCATTGTTCCAAAAATCATAACTTAATATCCATGATTATTTTTGGAAAACTTTGTGAATAAAAGTTGTAGACTTTGTGGAGGACTACAACTTTCATGTTGGAAGTTTTGTTTTAATCCAATTGCATCATAGTGAAAATGTTGGGCAAAGTTGGGAAAAATTAAGAAAATTTCATAACTTAGAAAAATTCTAAGTTATGAAAATTTTCAATCTTAAACCCTAATTTGCAAAATTGGGTTTCTTGATGAACAAGTTTCATATTTTGACACATCTTGATGAAAAATGACCCTTGGCATTTGATTTTGACCAAAAAGTCAAAGTTTGACTTTTTAGTGTACAGTCAAATTTTGATCAGTTGACTGAAAATTCATTTATCAATCCAATGCAATTGAGATCTTTTGAACCTTGTGAATATGTCAAGATGATGCCATTGAGTCATTTAATCCATGCTTGAACCCAATTTTCCATTGGCTAGGTCAAAAGTCAGATATTGCCCTTCTGCAGTCAAAACCCTAAAAATGACCATTTTGCCATTTTGATGATCTGATCAAATTTCTTGAGGAGTTGTGGTCCAAACTTGATCAAATGGTTCATATGAGTTTATAATGTTGATGTGGATAAAAAATTATGAGGTTTGACTGTAAATTGGCCATATTTGACTTTTTCTCCCAATACAGCTGATTTCTAGGTCAACTGTCCAATTGACTGGGCAAAAATTCGATTCAAAGCTTGAAACTTGGTAGAGGCAATCTTGTAGATCCAATATGAAATATGAAATTCACTTTGAGCATTGAAAGTCCAAAAATACTTGTGCAAACTCAAACCCTAATTTAGGTCATCAGTGCAAGGAGATGTCTTGAGCAGAGCAAAACCCTAATCCTGTCTGGAGTTCAAGGAGTCTTGTGAGGGGAAATCTTGATAAAATGAGAGGGCAAATTTTGGGGTACAGCAGACCCCTAATATGATCTTCCACTATTGTCCTCACTTATTCTTCCTAAATAACCACCTTGCCCTTATTTTCTCTACATCATCATCCTATTTATTTAATCCAAACAATTATAAATAATTACTATTAAATCTAAATAATCCAAACTAATCATTTAAATTCTAAACGTCTCTTATTATCCCATCTACACCACACAAATCATCATTTTAAATATCATATTCATCTCGACATCATAATATACCTCATATTCATCGAAACATCACAAATCATCACGAGGACTCACATAAAAAAACACCAAAACATCATATATATATATATATATATATATATATATATATATATATATATATATATATATATATATATATATATATATATATATATATATATATATATATATATATATATATATATATATATATATATATATATATATATATATATATATATATATATATATATATATATATATATATATATATATCAAATACTTCATAATGACTCATATATTCACGCTAAATTAATTAAATAATAATTAATATAGAATCCAGGGTGTTACAATGATAACTCACCCCCAACTAAAGAACTCGCCTCTAAACTGAGGACCCACGTCTAAGCTGAAGGACCCACCTCTAAGCCGAGGGACTCACCTCTAACAGTGAACTCACTCTTAACCACATGATTCAGCTGAAAGAAATGATATACTTAATACACTTCGCCCTTTACAAATCCTCGTGCTTGAGAGATGGTGTAATGATATATTTGTGAAGGGCTACATATAGTGCGACACATGTCTTGCCTTTACCAGGTGCCCGCCCCACAATACGTCGTCTGAAGCACAACCCTCACGTAACAGGTGTCTCGCCCTAAAGGAAAACGTGGACGACGATGATTATTTAATCTATAACCACATGTGCAAACACATGACCACGACTCCCTAAGAAGTAGGTAGTCAACAACTCTCTTAGTCAAGGTGAAACAATTCCCACTTCTTAGGAGTTCCTTAAATCTAGGCCCATAAGCCTTATAAATAACTTATCCCTAGCATGAGAAACTCATAACATACACAAAACACAAGAGAATACAGAACTTCTGATCTTAGGTAAATTTGCCCTCTCTATAGCCAAAACTTCACCGGACAAAATATTTCACCACCGTGAGCAAACCTTAAACCACCAAAAATTACTAAGGGGGCGTTTGTTTTAAGGTGTCAAAATTTATTCCTTGGAATACTATCCCAGAAAAATAAATGAAGGAAATTTATTTCAAGGTATTCTTCTGAAAAATTGTTTAGCAAAATTTTTACTATTCCCAAAAATATTATAATTTTTATTAATTTATTTAAAAAAAGTATATAAAATTTCATGGAAATTCACTTTCCCATCCTTTAACATGGGAATAATTCCATAGGAATAAGAGAAGTTATAAACAATTATTTTGTTTCTTGAAATCTTTATACTCCATAATAATTTTTTCAATCTTGTAAGAAACACACATATCCTCACTTTTTACCGATGTATTTTCAAAAATGTAATTTCTAAACTAGAAACAAACACACCCTAAGATCTCTAATTATCCTTACTAACATAGAAGTGTCACACATTATTGTATTTTTCACAAGTACAACTTATTAAATTTTGTAGCCTTAATCTACATACTTGGTTAGAGTGAAACATCACAAAAAAAAAAATAGAGAAAAGAGAATATACACCATCAACTAATCATGATCATGTATTATGTCAAGTCATTATGTTAATTATAAAAAAATTATGTGCCATATCTAATTAATTAATTTCTATTAAATTATAATATAAAATTATTTTACACTATCACTGCATTATCTTTACCTTGAAAAAAATATTGGATCAAGCGAGTTAATTTAAGTTTAGACATGGAACTAAATTTATTTATTTATTTATAATTAAATAAACTAATAAATAAATAAATAATAATGTAACCCATTAAACTATTTGAAAAAAAGAAAAATGACGCAAAAAATAAATAAAAACACCTAGATTGAGTTGGAATCAAAAGCGATTCCTTTTCTACTTCTCACGTTAGGGTTTTAACTTCATCTTCTTCCTCTTCTATCTCACCAGGTACGTATCCAACGTAACTACAGGATTCTACTTTTCTTTTGACAATTCACGCCTATTTCCATTTTCTTCTCATTCGCATCAACTCTCGCTTCTTAGGTTTAACAAATTTCAATTTTTTTGGTTCAATTTGGGAATTGTCATTTTTATTCGTCAGTTATCCTTTTCAAGCTGTTTTAGGTTCGTAAGAATATTGAATTATTTGTAAAGCTTAATTTTTTATTGCAAAATCACTGAATTGACTTTTCTAATTTCACTGAATTGACTTTTTATTGCATAGTTGAATTATGATCTGTGATTATGTAGTGTTTTTGTCTTAAAAAAAGTGGTTTAGTTTGATAGTTTAACGTTATTTTGATTGTTTGATGTTTTTTGTTTTGTTTTCAGGAACTGCTGCAGTGATTTGTAGAATGGGTGAAGTCGGTAAAAGAAATCGTCCGCAGAGAGACCGTGGGGACCGTAACGGAGACAACAAAAATCAAAAGAGGCGTGTGAATGACAATGAAAGGGACAGAGGCGAGTTGGTCGTGTATAGGATACTTTGTCCGGATGGGGTTATTGGGAGTGTTATTGGTAAGAATGGAAAAGTTATAAATTCAATAAGGCAAGAGACGAGGGCGAAAGTCAAGGTTGTGGATCCGTTTCCTGGTTCCAAGAATCGAGTTATAACTATCTATTGTCATATTAAGGATAAGGAAGAAATTGATGCTGAAGATGAATTTGACAACGATAAGCCTTTATGTGCTGCCCAAGATGCTCTTATCAAGGTTCATTCTGCCATTTCGAATGCCACGGAAGCTGCTGGTGATTCTGAGAAGAAACGGAAAAGTAAAGAGGAATGTCAAATTTTGGTTCCGTCAAGCCAGTCTGCTATTATGATTGGCAAAGCTGGGGCCACCATTAAACGGATGAGAGTTAAGACGAGGACAAATATCAAGGTTGTTTCAAAGGATGCAGCTGACCCTGAGCACTCATGTGCTATGGAATTTGACAATTTTGTGGTGGTAGGTGTATATTTACTACTATTATCAAACATATTAAAATTATCAAACATAATTTTTTTTTGTCTGCAATGGTATAACTAAGTATCTTTACTGATGGTTTTACCATACTTTGATTTTTTTCCAACTTTTCCTGCATTTATTTTCACTTGTTGCTGTTCTTATCTCTTCATGAATATTCGATGCCTAGAACTTATGGTGTTATAAACTGTTGTTTTCTTCTGTTGAAACACATTCTTTAATTTATTCTCTTCCAATGTTATATGTTTGTTTATACAGTAAGTGAACTTGTGGCGCTAAATGGGTGTATTTATTGGGCGATGATATGTTTCATTTGCATTTCCTTTCCTCTCTATTGTTGCAAAAATCTTTCATGCAAAAATGCAATACATTGACCTCCATTTTGGTAACTTGTGTGTTGCACTCTTTTCCTTTCCGATAGAGAGTAATGCCTCCCTGACGACTGCTTTATGTCTCTCTCCCCCTATCTCTAAAGGGGGATTTAGTCGTATCAAAATATGGATCTTGCCTCTGTCGCTGCATGTGCTGGTTTAGTTTTGGAGAAATTCTTACAATTTTTATACTTTAATTAAAATTTTTATACAGATATTTTCTGGCTATTGAAATAATTCCTTTGCAGGGAACTTCTATCTTATATGTGCTTGTTTTCATTGAATAGATTACAGGTGAACCGGAAGCTGTAAAAAGAGCATTATTTGCAGTTTCAACTATTATGTACAAATTCTCCCCCAAGGAGGACATTCCTCTTGACACATCTTTACCAGAAACCCCTCATAGCATTATCATTCCTTCTGAAGTTCCTATTTACCCTCCTGGTGGGCTATATCCAACTTCAGATCCTATTATTCAACCTAGATCTTTTCCTCAAATTATTGGTGCTACAACTGTGCAAGATCTACATGGTTATGCAGATACAGGAAATGCATGGTCTCTGTACTCATCTTCCCTTCCGGTTGTTTCCAGTCTAGGTGCTTCTCAATCTGAAGAATTAGTTATTAGAATGCTGTGCCCCTCTGGCAAAATTGGACATGTAATTGGGAAGGGAGGGGGTACTATTAAGCGTATGAGGCAAGCTAGTGGTGCTCGTATTGAGGTTGATGATTCCAAGGCTCGTCATGATGATTGCTTAATCACTATAACTGCAACAGAGGTGAATATCTGTGTTTCTTCCATTTTTTCACATCTAATTGTATTTGTTCAGACCAGGGTTAACTTGGTAGAGTGCGTTCAGGGTATATATACACATGGAAAAACTTGTTGACATTTACTACTTTAGAACATTCTATTTTTGGAGAGGGGGCAAGTTTTCAAAGTTTTATGAAAAAAATGAAAATCATGTAAACCTTGATTATTGAGGTGAGATGTCGTTGTGAACATTCCTTAAATGGGCGTTAATTTCAACTTTGTATGTGTCCTCAATTTTGAAGTTCTAATTTTCGGTTTGGTCTATTGTTTATTTAATCTTCCTTTTTTTAAAAATTTCAATAGTTTTTTGGTGGGGGTGGGAAGGAGTCATTGTTATACGATCTAGTATCAGATATATGCAAGGCTGTGTAAATGAAAAATGATGCAAAACTTGATTATTGATGTGAGAAGTTGATTCTTTCTCATTAGGAACTTGATATGATTAGATGTTAATCTTCAACTTATACTAGTCTGAATTTTTTAAGTTAAAATTTATAGCTTGATCTTTAGTTTCTTTATTGTTCTTTCTATGTGTTCTTTCTTTAGTTTCATCCTATTATTAATTTTAAATATTGATTTGTCTTAAATATTTCTTGGCTGGATCACCGTGTGCACTTGTTTGCTTTAATACTCTTATTTTGTTTTGTTGACAAACGCCCTCATTGTTTTTCTTTTCTTTCCTGGCTGTATTTTATTCATCTCTTCCAAGTTCCATTGGGTTTTAAGATGATCAGGTCCTTAATTGAAGGAAATATTTTTATAGTTGATACCAATTAATTTCCGTGGACTCGTTAAATGATTATGCGGCACCCCTTGTAACAATGAGAGTTGATGCTTATTGAAAATAAGCACCAACAAAGCCCTCATGTAAACTACATTATAGAGTTAATGTAGATCAAAATTTTAAAACTTTTCGGTGAGGAACATGTGATTTTGTAATGTTACCCAACAACAACAAAAACAACAACCAAGTCGTATATCACTAAACTAAGTGGGGTCAGCTACATGTTAAGTAAGATGCCTGTTAGGAATAAGTTTCCATATGTCCCCATGCTACTATACTAGGGAAGAGGTGATTATTTGTAACTTAATTTATGTGGTTAATCTATAAGTGTAACTGCAGATAAACTTGGTGCTTTGCATTTGTTTAACACTCAAGCTTCTTCAAATAATTGAATTTCACGATCAACTTTATGCTTGGTTTACTTGTTGGATTTGGTCTCCCATTTTGTTCATATTCTAATACTCTACATGTATTCTGTTTTGAACCTGTGCTGTTTTTCTTTTATAAGAATTGAATTCTCATGTAGCATGTGTGTTTTGTAGTCTTCAAGTGATCTGAAATCCATAGCTGTTGAAGCTGTTCTTCTGCTGCAAGAAAAAATAAATGATGAAGATGATACCCCGGTTTCAATCCGGCTCTTGGTTCCATCTAAAGTGATAGGGTGTATTATAGGGAGAAGTGGTTCAATCATAAATGAAATTCGGAAGAGAACTAAGGCTGATATTCAAATCTCAAGAAGTAATAAGCCCAAATATGCAGATGACAATGATGAACTTGTTGAGGTTTGAATTGTTTACCACTTCAATTTTTCTCTTCAATTTGTGTATATATTTTATTCATTTTTTTTCTTCAATTTATGATTTAGGTGGTAGGTGAAGTTGATTGTGTGAGAGATGCGTTAATTCAGATAATCTTGAGACTAAGGGAGGATGTATTGAGAAAAAGGGACATTGACCAAAAACCTCCCATAGGGGCTGAATCTTTGTACGCAGGCAGTTCTGTACTTTCAGCACCATCTATGCTACCTTCAATTCCTGCTGCTGCACTAGCTTATGATCAGAGGACTGGAAGTGCATCTGGAACTGGACTGGGCATGCACTCTTCTAGCAGCCGTTATGGATATGATTCCTACTCGGTATGATGATACATTCTTTTCATCTAAAAAGTTTTGCTTCAAGGGTCAAACATTTGACAGAATATTTTTATTCACTGTGAAGTTCCACATTTCTACTCAAGTATATTAAGTCTTAACATGTTTGGTCTTGTTTGTTGTTGGTAAATGATACACTCTTATGTAATGTTAGTTTCTTATTGTTAGAATAATAACTCAAGTGTGAGTAAGTGGGGAAATAGTCATACATTGGATAGGAATGTTGAGACTTGAGCATATAAGTGGGAGAACTCACTCACCTATCTCCTTAAGGTTTTAGGTGGATAAGTGGTGTGTCTCTCACAAATGTGTCTAGTCCTACACTATATATGAATGCTCATAGTAACTTTCTCCAACAAATGGTATCAGAGCCTGGTTCGAGAAAGGGACCGACTTAGTATGGAAATGCCCAGGAAGTGGTGTCCCGTTGCAAGGTGTCAACGGCGGTACAAATGGGAGAGTATTGTAGACTCACACTTGAGGGGGAGTGTTAGAATAATAACTCAAGTGTGAGTAAGTGGGGAAATAGTCCCACATTGGATATGAATGTGGAGACTTGCATATATAAGTGGAAGAACTCACCCACCTATCACCTTAAAGTTATAAGTAGATAAGTGGCGTGTCTCTCACAAACAAAGGTGCCTAGTCCTATACTATGTATCAATACTCCTAGCAACTCCTCCCAACACTTATAACATCTTATGCCCAATGCATATGCTCAGTGCTCACTAATAGTATTCTTTTAAACTAATTCTAGTTTTAGACAATTTCATTGAAATTAGGTGCAGCAAATAGCATAATTTTCTTTGTCATATGAATAAGGATGTTTTCACGGCTGTACATATTTTAAACTGGAAAATCTTGTAGCAATGCAAATTGAAGTTATATTAGCAATGGAAAGCTTATTATATATTCTAGTTTTCTTAGTCATATTTGGGTTTGAATATAGTTGTTATGAAGTAATGACTTATGAGTCCTGCTAGAAATATAATGAAGCAGTTAAAGTAGTGAATGAATGCTCATGGGTTTTAGCTAACTTTTCTTGATTATTGGCTTTCTTTTCTTCATCTTTTCTTCCAGCACTGTGTAAAGTCTATATTTTTTTTTAGTACAATATGTGGAAACTTGTGTTTTGCTCTATTTATTTTCTCTTTTTGTTGTAACATAATTCATTTCTGATATTTTCTCTCTTTTTTGCTTCTTTGTAAAAAGATGGCAGACAATGGTTATGGATCTATTTCTTCTTATGCCACCAAGATGTATGATGGGTTAGTGTATATTGTTATCAAAGTTATATTTGTTCTATAAATTGCAATTGAGTTGGTCTTTTTGTTTTTTCCCATTTCTTTCCTTAGTCCTATGTTGAGCTGATTAAGTATTTTCAATTCATGTTTCTGTGCGTTTGTTAGACATAGTTTGCCTCCCCTGTCAACATCAGAGATGTTGATTCCTGCTAATGCTGTTGGCAAAGTGGTGGGTAAAGGTGGGGCAAATCTAGCCAATATCAGGAAGGTTAGTTCTCGCATTCTAATTTACTTTCTTTTTATTCTATGGAATAGGGAAATAATTTGTGGTTTGGAAGACATTTTTCTATTGGTTATCTTAAATTATATCCAGATTTGTTTACGCTTAATTCTTAGTTTTTGGAATTCTTCGATTGCTCACCTAGTTACAGTTGAAGGCAATAATTAATGATCAAGCTTAATTCTTAACGTTTTGTACTATTTGATCACTCCATTAGCTGCATTGTCGTATTATGCATCTTCTGTGTACAGCCATGTGTAGTAATGAAAGAGATAGACATCTGACATTTTTATTCACCCAAGTGATTTTGTCATAAGATGGAAACAGCGGGTTGGTGCACTAACTATTCAATAAAAAAACATATGAAGAGTCCGTTTAATGGTATAGATAAGAGAAACATGATATCATACGTTATCATATTCAGCCTTACTCTAGTGTTTGTGGAGCCAACAAGATAGGATAACTCCATCTTGTCTCTTATCTTTAAAAAAGATACACAAAAAGGGAGACACCTATTCTTTTGAATGCCAATGGCCAAAGTTTCAGACATACTCACATTTATACATCTTTGACATAGCATGGACTGCTAATTTGTTAATATTTCATATTCATTACCCATGATCACTGAACGTGTATTTTATTCCCGGTTGTTTCAATCCAGATTTCAGGAGCAACAGTAGAGATTTCTGAGTCCAAATCTTACCGGGGTGAACGAGTTGCTCTTATTTCTGGCACATCTGAAGAAAAGCGCGCAGCTGAAAACCTGATCCAGGCTTTTATAATGGCGGCATAAGTTTTCAGTGTGTCTTGAAGGTGAAAATTTAATTTTCAATACATCTACTCATTCCTCTTCTTACTCCGTCTAGGTTGGTCTGGAGAGAATATCCTCTAGCGTTCTTTGACCGGACTCCTGCTTCTTCCATAAGTGACTAGCAAGATTATGACACAGTATCCATTGCTGGTTTTGTTTTTAGAAGCTGTAGTTCCTTTCTTTGCCTTTTCTTAATCTACTCTTCATCTGTGAGTTCTCTTAGAACTGTAGGATCTTTCTTTCTGTTCATGCTGTTTTTCCATTGATTAGTGTGGAAATCATCTTTATCTCCATGAATAATTATCTGAGGAACCATGAAGCAGTGTTTATGTTTTTGACTTGTTTCTTCTCATTCAACCTTTTATTCTCCTTTCTTGCTGAAACTATCTTTCCTAAAGATGCAAATTAATACAAGATTCTCTAGCAATTTCCTCTTTCAAGTATCTACGACTTTTGAGCTCTTCAGTCTAAAGCGTGGAAGTTGCCTTGTAAAATTGAAAATCTGCAGATCTTTTTCCTCCTCCTTGCTATTTTCTGTGTATGAGTAATTCAGTGTAAGTGAAGGTAGTTGGCAATATGACCAATGGCACTTTATTATATGCCTGCCTGTAATCTGAAAAACCATTGGAATATATTTTGTAAAACATATGTTCTTGCTTTTGATTTCTCAGTATCTTATGATGATACCACTCACAAGGAAATGCTTGCTGCAGCATTTTATCGTAGCCGTCGTTCCCCTCTTCCACTGTGTGGTTACGAATAATTTTATTAGATCTCTTCAATTCTATCAAGTGAAGTTCTTGTTATGATCTTTATATCTGCCTTATCTGCTATTTGCGGAGTATAAATTATGAGTTTAATGGACATGCACAGTCGGTGTAAAGAAATTTTACACGGTTGTTCAATACGAAACCACAAATCTGTCAAATCATCCAAATTGTTTTCAAATATCAGTATGATGATTTGGTGAGATGCACATTGTTCATTAGATGACGGTGTAAAATTATTTTACACTATCAGTACATCTCCTATTTTCTCATAAATTATCTTGATTGCAACTTCACATATATTTAATAGGACTCACAAATTCTCTCAATTGGGGGGTTCTTGTTTTGATCTCTCTCTGCTGTCATATCTTTCTACTATTCACAAATTATTTCAGCTGAACTTGTGTATCAATGTTAACCGAATTTTGGCTACCAAGAATTTAAACTGATCTAATTTTAGTAATTTCCCCCAAATGAAAGGTGGCATTGCTTACATAGCATTTTTTTGCCACAACCACATGAAACAAGAAAACATGAGATCAAATAATAAATCATAAGGGTTTATATGCTATCAAATTATGGGCGTGGCATTAGGGTTCTTGTATTCGTATTTGAAGGACAACATTGGCCATTTACTATGCTCTTCTCATATCATTATACCTTTGTCACACTACACTTCACTTGATTTTCATTAATGTTTTCATCCTTTATCTATTCTATAACTCCAAGTTCTACCCGATAATGATAATGAATCTCTTCTCAAAGATCTCCTTAGACAAGATTGCCAACACTCACCAACCCACTTTTCATTCACATTCTCACTCTCAAATTTCACACGAGCAGAACTATTCATGAACACATACATGGAAACTTACTTAAACACTCTCTAATGACTTATAGGCTGAAATAACACGGCCCAAGGTCTATCTAGGTTCTCATCCAAAGCTATGGTGTCATAGACCAGCTTTAAAATAAACATCAACTCGGCTTTATTTCACTAAGTGAAATTGGCTACATGAATTATATTATGCCTTAGTGTTATATTACAAACTATGCTTTTATCCAACACATCAATTCTGAAATTTTTTGAACAATTTTTTTAATAAATTTTTAGGTCTTGCATCTTTTCTAAACTTACCTCACTTTCAACACTACATCTTAATTTTTACTCCACTTAAAATACATGAGACTCTCTTCCATTTCAACCATTAGGTGGATTATGTTTCCTTCCACTTCATCATTTTGTGTTATGGATTCAAAATATTTCAGTAGTGTAAATTGTGATATATTATCCATCTTCAACTTTCACCTACAAGGTACAAACACTTTTTTTTAAACTTACATTTCGTCTATGTTTGGCATTACTTAAAATTCACGGTGTTCACGGTGTGGCCGCATGTAATATAGAAGCCAATACTAATAGCTTCAGAAAATCAGTGCAATGGGTTCTAAACTTGAAGGTAGGAGTGATTCACCGAGTTTCCAAACACAACACAAGCTTCTATGGACCTTCTCCAGCCTCTCTTGTAATTCCTCTCTCGACTTTAAAGTAGAATTATATCATCTATGAAAAAACATACTTCTCAATGCTGTGTTATGTAAGAACATCGAAAACTAAAAGAAAAATGTAGGACTTAAGGGTTCTCATACTAGTCAAAACCCTCTCATATATATCATGAATAGTTTGAATATAGACAATCATAACCCTTTTTGTCTCTAGGACTTTCCTCATACACTTTTTCCAACTCAATAAAAATGAAGTCCAACAAATCTTGTTGATCTATCTTATACCAATCTATCACACATCCTTGTAAATAGATCGTTTCCACGGTCGACTTACAAGACATACAATTAAATTGGTTACCGGTAGCTTGAGTATCTCTTGTTAGTCTCTGTTCAATTTTTTAATCCTCCTATAATTAACACAATTTTTTATATCCCTCTTATTCCCGCAAACTAACTTAAGGATAATTAAAAGTAAATTCACATTGTTATGGGAGGACTTATTTGCGATCAACATTTTCTTGATAAATTCTTTCATTGTTGATGATAAGTTTCAATCTTTGCTATTGTTGAAAAAACAATTTGTTTCATCGTCGGTGAAAGGCACATTCTGCAGCTGTACATGAACGAAAGTCCCAAATGTCTAACCCTAACATGGCCATGATTTAATAGTCACAGTTCATAATATAAAGCTTGTAATTCAATGATCAATTTTGCGCTTTGTAAAATTATAATTCAATAATCATCCATGATTTTGAGTGAAGCAATACTACCTCTACAATGTTTCTCCTTTGGTTTTATGGTCTTCTTTGCTCCAACAGGAAGCTTTTAAGACCAGTAGGTTGGTGCTATAAAAATTTAGTTTGTCCCCTAAATACAGTTGTGGTTTTTATCTTTTTTTTTTTTTTTGTTTAAATTCTTCTTTGTAAAGTGTCACATATCATAATTAATCTTACGTGACAAGTCACATAACAATGCCACTCTGAATTTGGTAAGTTTGCAACTTCTTCACACTGGTATGAATTTGTATAATGATGATGGATTTATTACTAATTTACTCATGTTGATGGAGTTCTACAATTGGAATTTTTGTTTTTTTGCATAATAAAAATCCATAAACATGCATATATAATGAAGTTTTGCACTTTTTTTTTTGCGTGATAAAAACCATAAACATGGATGGTAGTTTTTTTTTCTTTCTGGATTTGAAATTTCTAATATCAATACTACTGTAAAAAGTGAGTAATTCGAATTGTTCCTTGATCCTCATGCAAAATTTCAAGTACTTACCATTGGCCAACTTCGATCGTCATCTTACAATAAACACACAATTAATCTGTATAAATTTAACCTACTATTTCAAGTTGCATAATATATCTATTTTTTTATTAAATGGGTTACATAGTATGAGTATGGTACTGCAGATGGAAAAAATCTCTGTATCTATTATCCGCATTTCTAATAAAAAATAAATATATTTAACTATAAAATACATATCATTTTAAGTTTTTAAAACCATTTAAATGTTTTAAAAAAAATTATTGTTGAGTTATGAAATAAACGGACACTTATGTTTCATATGTAATAGTTTAATATCGATGTATTTTTAGAAATTGATAAACAAATATTTTAATATAATAATATAAATATTGTATGGGTATGAGGTGAAGTGGATATTAAGGTGACCATATCTGCATTTGTATCCGTATTTATTTGTGTGGGTTTTATCCTATTTGTTAAGGGTTTTTTTCTTATGAGTATTCATTGAAGATGAGTCAAAATGCTATCATTAATCATGTTTCAACGTGATTCATGTATGATTGTCTTTTAGGCTTTGTTTGTTTGGAGAGAAATAAGAAAGAGAGAAATAGAGAAGAGAGAAAGAGAGGAAAGATTATCAGTTTCTCTTGCTTGGAATGCTGAGAAATAGAGAAGAGATATTAAAAAATTGTGGGACCTACCATTTTTAAACTTGCAACTTACACTGTCACAACTCACAACTGTTTATTTTTTATTTTAATTTTCTTTAAAATAATATATTTTAATGATTATGATACATTGTTTGAGTGAAAAAAATTACACACAGTACATAGTAATTAGAATATTTTTAAATACAATCTGAAACAAAGTTATTTTTTTGAAGGTTTTTTTGTTTGACAACTTTTGCTTCAAATAAAATTGTGTCAGAATATTTTGTTTTGTAGGGTATTGTTTATTCCAATTCTTTGTTTTTTTTACAGTAAATATTCTCATTCAATAGATGAAAATCAGAGAGTACAAATAGAGAGAAAGAAGATGTGTTCGGATATTTTCTATTTACAAATTAATAACAACACTAACAATTAACCCAAACAAGCTATGAACAACAAAAAAACTTTGAGAAATTAGAAATTAAAAGAAGGTTACCAATCCAAATTTTTAATCCAATCAATCAAACACAGTTCTTCTGCAAGAGTCAAATGAGTTTTGGAATCTCAATTTTTAAATCTATCCAGTTACGGATCATATCTTTAGTTTTATCACATTCAATTCAATTATGTAGGTTCATATGGTTGATTAATCTCACAATTTGTGGAGGAAATATTTATTGACCGGAAAGAGGAGTTTGATTTGCCACACCTCTAACTGGATCGTTACTCAAAATCACAACTCCTTCATCCAAACTTCTTTGAGGCAAAATATTAAATACCTTGAACACAAACTTAAATCACC